AAGAACCAATGTCGCTAGATATTTGAAAAATTGATTCGAGTGCACCATATCCATATAATTTTTCTTGTTTTTTAGTTGAATTTAACCATTTAATAATAAATTTGGAACTAGTTTGTTTAAATAATTCCATAGAATTTTTATTTTTTTGTGCATTGTCAAATAATTTCGTTAAAATTAACAATGACAAAGGTTTTATTTTTGGTGAGTTGGAAGAAAGGTTACGCAAAATATCTTCATATTCGTTTGATGCTACTAATGTTGAAGAATAAGTTGGTTCATTTACAATTTTTTGTAGAAGGGTATTTAGAAGATATAATGGATTGTATCGAATATGAACATGAGGACGTTCAAAGGGCTATTACCGAAATAATATCTGTAGCTTGTTCGCAAAAGGATTGTAGAGCTTTAGTAGCAATACATTGTCAAAAATATTTAACAAGTTTAATGACTAGCAACAATCAAAAACTAAAAACTTTATCAGCTGTTGCATTAACAAAAATTTTGTTGGATGAAAAAGCCTCAGAACAACAACAAAATGGCAATAAAATTTCAGTAATTGACGAAAATGAGACGCTTTTAGCAGGATTATTTCAAAATATGGTTTTGGATACTAATTCGGAAACCACCATCCGTGTAAATGCTATTGAAGGATTAGCTTATTCTAGTTTAAAACCCGCTGTGAAAGAAACGATTGCTTATCATCCAACGTTGTTAAAAGAAATATTTAAACTTGTGCAAGACTCAGAAAAGACGGATAATGCATTATTTTATGGTGTAGCAGTAATCTTGGCTAACGTTACCACATACAAGAAAAAAATGAGTGAATCTGAAGAACAAATTTTCAAATTAAAGAAAATGTCAGGAGAAAGCTTAAAGATCGAAGATGATCCTATAGATGATGATGAATATGTGATTAATCGGACTAAACAAGTTATGAAATCTGGTGTCATTCGTCCGTTAATTATCATGACAAAAAATTCTAGTCAAGCGATTCGACAATTAGTGGCAAAAGTATTTCTTAATCTTACAACAGATCAAAGTAATCGAGGCGCAATTGTTCAGCAAGGCGGCATTAAAGCTTTGATCCCATTAGCTACCAAGAATACAAAAGAAGTTACCGAACTTGCAAGTCACGCTTTGGCAAAAATTGCCATTACAATGGACCCAAATTTGGCATTTCGTGGTGAAAGAGCTTCAGATCTCGTTCGTCCTTTTCTTTCTTTATGTCAAGGAGGAAGTGAACTTTGTCAATTTGAAGCTTTGATGGCTTTAACAAATTTGGGAAGTTCGGATAATGATATTCGAATGCGGATATATGATGCTAAAGGAATCCCAATTATAGAAAATTTACAACTTTCTGATAATGACATGATTCGTCGGGCAGCAACTGAATGTTTATGTAATATGATGTTTTGCGAACCGGTTTATATTATGTACAGTGATCCTCAAATGTCATCGAACAAAATTAAAATATTAGTTGCACTTTCTGATGTTGAAGATTTTGAAACTCGACGAGCAGCTAGTGGAGCTTTGGCAATTTTATCGACAAGTCCCGATGTTTGTAATATGATTGTTGATCGACCACGTGGAATAGAAATATTAAAAGATTTAATTTCTGAAGAATCGGTGGAAATGCAACATCGTAGTGTTGAATGTTTCAAAAATATTTCAAATGTTAGCAAAGAAATGTGTCAACGATTGGTTGAAGCTAAAGTTCATGAAAATTTAAAATTGTTGATTAAAAATTGCAAAATTGAGCCTGTTGTGGCCATAGCTGTCGAGGCATTACAAGAAATCGCAAAACATGGTTATTTACCAAAGAATGATGCCAAATAGATCTGATAATAGTGTACTCTTTTTTCGTAATTTGTAATATTTATTAGAGTTGCTTAAAATGTATTATTCACTATCTATCATATATTTATATTTATATATAAGGTAGAGGGTGGTAATTTGACGGAGTAAAGATTTATCAAAATTCTCCAATAGTAAAGTTTCATTAAAATGTTATAATTACAAAATTTTATTTCAAAATAATATAATTCTTTTATCTATTTAAATTCTAAAATCAATAAAAAAGCAAGTTGACTTGTATTTGCACAACTTTGGTGTTAAGTAACTTCAACGGTGGGCAGGTAAAGTGGCCGAACAACAGATTAATTACGTCCCTGATTTTTATGGCCTGATGCATGTCTATAGTAAATTTGCTCATCATTTTTTGTAATTAACATGAAATAAGTTCAGTTTCATGGGTACAATTTTTATCCACATATGGGAACGGCCACAGCAAAAGCAGGGAATGGGACTATATAATATATAGTCCCATCCCCTGCTTTTGCTGTGAGCGTCCCCATATATGAATTTGCTTTAAAAGAATCGTAACTCAAAGTTAACGAAGGGAGGATTATCACGTGAGCATTCGGCATTATATTATTGGTGCCTTTTTCGGCATCATACGACATGAGTATCGCTAAAAGAAAACTCGAAAATTTAAATATAAGTCATTTAAATTTTCGGGTTTTCTTTTAGCGACACTCATATATACCAATTTTTTCTCACAATCAATATTTTTTTTCTTCTTTTCCGTCCGTTGTTTTACTCGTCGTACCTCCACTTCCACATATGTTCGGAGAAGTTAGGCTGCTTCGGTGATTCCGGTCTAACCGGGTGAATTACTGATCAGTCGTCCTATGTGGTCGCACTTTCAACTTCTCGTGATTATCAAAGAAAAATGAGTATATCACTTGTAAGCTTAGAAATCATAGTAAAAGCAACAATTTTTGTAAAAGTTAGTGTACATATATAATAAAAAATACATCTTCCATTTAAATAACAAAAAAATTTGCGGAGTTGACTAGATATGTGTTGGGCATAAAGTCATATTCAATTTAATTATTGGTTTATAAGCTATGCATATAAATATGAATCGCATAAAAAACTTTTTACGTATTGATGTTTCTTTAGTTGATTTAAAAAAAAAAATTAGTATTGGTACTAGTTGGTAAAACATTTGTATCTGAGATCAGGGATGACAAATTTTTTAAACCATCTTAAAGATCGTAAAAAAATTAAGATGTAAATCGCGGTTAAAGGGTATAAAAATAGCAAATTTAATAGTAGAAATTCGTAAGTTAATATCGGTTCTCTATGTGATTGGAATGCAACTAGCTTACAATGAAATTTTTTTTTATAGTAAGTGAAGCTTCTTGAATTTCTAACGAATATTATAAAGTCTGTCCGGTTCTGATAATGGTAGAATTATTAAAATTGGATTAGTAGTTCGCGAGTTATTGAGTTATTAGCATTTTTCCTTCATATTATTTTTCCATATTACCAGAAACTTTTGGCATTCCAATATTAAATGAAGAATAGTAATTTTCTGCAGATTTTTACCATGAAAATTATACCCTTCAACCGCGTTATTTTAATCTAGGAAATTCTATTTTAACCTGGTTATGGTCACCAAACTATATATGAATTTTGAGTTTCAAAACACGATTCGTGGTATTGTACGGTATTGTACTGGTAAAGGCATTTATCCTATGCTCAGGAATATATTAAATTCAAATACTAAAAATGATATTATTCTTTTATTAAAAAACAAAAAAATTAAGAAAGAGCTTTAAATCTTTTTTTATAAACAAATATCTACTGTATAGGCATGAAAGATATTGGTCATGCAACGATTAATATCATGAAAAGCTTGAAAAATTGCCATACAACTCTTAAAACATCCAAAGTTTTTAATCGCAATACAATATATTGGTTATAAAAACTTAATTTGGCATTTTTTATTTGTTTGATATTTGGAATTTTTTACATTATTCTTTGCTTTTCACTATGCAAAGAATAATGCATAGTTTTCGTAATTAGATTTTTTAGCAAAAAAATTGATTTTGTGTTATATTTAGCAAGTTTTTATAACAAATAAATTTGCTTGATTATTTGTCAAGGTTGCAAGAGTAAAGTGGATGGGAATATGCGATGTGTACATATAAGTCATGTCGATAACGTATGTTCATACCTTTATGACAATCTGTAAGGGTTCAAATTTTATATCAGTTAAGTATTGTAAATGTTAATTTTAAATTCTAATATATCGCTTATTTAGAAACTATAAAGCAAATTCCAACTCTTTGCTTTATTAATAAAATAGAAACAAGTTTTGCCATAACATCAGTTGATTTTTTCAATTAAAAAAAAAGTAAAAATATTCACTTGCTATATGTATACGAAAAATTGGAACACTTCGTATATCGCACATTCCAAGCTACTCTACACTTACTCTATAAAAAAAATTTTTAATTCATATTCAAAATTTGCTCGGGTTATTTTTTTAAGGGAGATCATTTTCCGTAATAAAAATCTATACAAAACCTTTAAAATTTCCTGAATATTTTTGAAACATAATTTTTATCAAGTAAAAAATTATAATCAGGAAATTAACAAGGTTTCGAAAATATTCAGAAAATTTTAAAGGTTTCGTATAGATTTTTGTTACGGAAAATGCCCATCTCTTAAAAAATTAATCTGAGTAAAGTCTGAATATGATTTTAAAAAAAATTTTATAGGGTTACTAGACGTCTATTTCTCTGAATTGACTATATATTGATATGTACTTCACATATTCCAGCTCACACTATTGACTATATATTTGACATGCACTTCACATATTTCAACTCACACTAAGCAGGAGAATTATAAAAAATAAATTATAATAATATAATTTTTCTATCGATGTTAAAAATTCGAAGGGTAGTTATGATAATTGTGACGTAGTTAATTTATGGTTGCTTAATACTTTAAATTGTTCTTGCTATTCTGTCGTGTTACAAATTTTTCTCCACAAGAACTAAAGGAATTAAAGTAGCTAAGAGCTAGACCTAAGTTTGCGTCAGATTTTAACCAAAAGGATGCTCAACTACTGAAGGTGAGCTTCCAGCCAGCTTTTTTCGAAGATGCTATTCCCTCCTTAAAGTGCTCTGTTGCGCTGTTTCGATTATTTGTCTTAGTGAAACATTGATATTTCAAATATCATGCGATCACAGCTCTGGCGAATATCTTCCCGAAATCACTCGTCATAAAGTCAGAAACCCAGATTTTCAAATTGACAAGCTCGATAAGGATTCGAATCGAGTCAAAATGTTCATTGATAAATGAGGAACCTATTGATGAGACCATATTTGCTATGCGTGTTCTTTCAATGTATATGACATTTTACAAGGCAGAGATCACTGCAAAATGTTGGCCGAACTTAATCGTGGTTTACCAAAACAGAAGTTATTGTTAAGAGATATCCAGAAGAAAATGCTAAAGCGGAAGATCTGGATTTAATAGAACCAAATGGGAGAAAATCAGTGCTAGAAACATTAGCTAACCTTTGTGAATTATGAACAACCTGGTACGTACATATTGAATGTTTAAATGATGTAAACCATTTTTTTTAAAAAAAAATAATAATAATAATTACAGCTGTTCTCATAAATTCTGGAAAATTTGTCAAAATTTTACTGACCGAATATTTGCCGATTCGATAAGCTTTGATTTAGCAGTGATAAACTTTTGATTCGGATGTAATTACATCCGAAT